TGCGCGTCTCTCCTCTCTTTATGGACTCATTTGGCCCTTTAGGTCCATTGTACCACTTTTGATTCTGTATCCAAACAAAATGAGGAAGGGGAGAAGGTCTTCATACATTATATTGCATAATAACTTCTAGTTTTTGAAACGTAACAGATTTTTGTATATTATCCACTTTTTAAACAAGAAGAAACAGGTTCAGAGAGATAAGTAACATGCCTGTAGCAATGAAGTCACATAGCAATGAAATTTTAAAGTTCATGCTTTCTTTTGGTCTGTGAGCTTGAGCAAATGATAACTAAAGTTGCTCATTTGTAAATGTGGACATTATTTTTCTTATGTATCTATTTAATTGCAAACACAAAACATTGGATGCTAAATTTAATTTGGAAGGATGCCAAGAAAAAAATTTAGTAGGAAGGCTCAAGTTCTGCCATCTGGTAAATCTGACGGCAGCATTTGTTTGTGTCCTTGGAAGTTTGGAGTCCTTTATTTTAATTGACGCCACTTTAAGAAAAGTTTAAAACTTTTTGTGTGAGGCAGTTAGATTGTAGGTGCTGGCCGGAAGGGTCCCCATGGGAACCATAGAGTCAACACTGCATTACTTACTTTAGCTAGTCTATTTCTAGATAATCAGGAAGAATTCAAGAAAAAGGAGGCTTTTTCCCTCTCGATGTGTTTTAGACCCCAAATTAACAACCTATGGCAACCGTTCTGCCTACGCCCTCTTCTCACACTACCATGGCTTCCTGTGCAAGCTTATCTGCCTCCATGGCTTCCGATACTATCTAAAGGCTAATAATTCTGAAATGTCTGTCTACATCCCAAGCCCAGTTACAGAATAGTGTATCAGTCTATGCTTGCTGAGCATCTTTGCTTGGATGACACAGAGGCCCCTCAAGCCTCTCATTGTCCCTAACTGAATCCATCTTTTCCCTCAAACCCATTCTTCCTGCATTCCCTTTCTCTGTAAAGGCTCCACAATCACCTAGTTCAGTAGACATGTGGGTTTTGTCTTCCTAACTACTTCCCCTCTCCCTCCCTCTTGTCCAGTCTGTTATTAAACTCCATCCGTTGGAGTTTAATAATCCACTAAATAGCCACTGAATCTGTCTGCTTCTCTCTCCTGGCCATTGCCACTGCCTAGGCAACCATCATCTCTCACTTGGATTGTAGCTGCATTCTTTTTTTTTTTTTTTTTTTTTGAGACGGAGTCTCGGTCTGTCGCCCAGGCTGGAGTGCAGTGGCCGGATCTCAGCTCACTGCAAGCTCCGCCTCCCGGGTTCATGCCATTCTCCTGCCTCAGCCTCCCGAGTAGCTGGGACTACAGGCGCCCACCGCCTCGCCCGGCTAGTTTTTTGTATTTTTTAGTAGAGACGGGGTTTCACTGGGTTATCCAGGATGGTCTCGATCTCCTGACCTCGTGATCCGCCGGTCTCGGCCTCCCAAAGTGCTGGGATTACAGGCTTGAGCCACCGCGCCCGGCCTGTAGCTGCATTCTTGTAGCTACATGTTTACCTTCTAGTCTTGTGATGTCCTTTTGTCACGTGACATCCAGTGTTCATTCTTTTTTTTTTTTTTTTTGAGACGGTCTCATTCTGTCGGGGAGTACAGTGGCATGATCATAGCTCACTGCAGCCTCAATCTCCTGGACTGGAGCAATCCTCCTGCCTCAGCCCCCCGAGTAGCTGGGACTACAGGTGCACACCAGCATGCCCAGCTAATTTTTCTGATTTTTAATAGAGACAAGGTCTCACTGCATTGCCTAGGCTGGTCTTGAACTCTTGGCGTCAAACAATCTTCCCACCTCAGCCTCTTAAAGTGTTGGGATTACAGGCGTGAGCCACCTCACCCACCCTTAACAACCAGTATTCTTTCTAGCATTCATATGTCTTCCTCTTCTCAAAATCCATTCAGTGGTTTCCCTGTAACCCTCTGGATAAACACATGTTTTTTGTTTGTTTGTTTCCGAGACAGAGTTCCACTCTTACACCCAGGCTTGAATGAAGTGGCACAATCTCGGCTCACTGCAACCTCTGCCCCCTGGGTTCAAGCGATTCTTCTGGCTCAGCCTCCTGAATAGCTGGGATCACAGGTGCCTGCCACCACGCCCGGCTAATTTTTGTATTTGTAGTAGAGACGGGGTTTCGCCATGTTGGCCAGGCTAGTCTCGAACTCCTGACCTTAGGCGATCCACCCGCCTCAGCCTCCCAAAGGGCTAGGATTATAGGTGTGAGCCACTGAGCCCAGCACAATACCATGTTTCTTAACATGACTTACAGCCTTGGTTCTTACACTTTAAAAAAGCTCTTACACTGCCGGGCGCGGTGGCTGAAGCCTGTAATCCCAGCACTTTGGGAGGCCGAGACGGGCTGATCACGAGGTCAGGAGATCGAGACCATCCTGGCTAACCTGGTGAAACCCTGTCTCTACTGAAAAATACAAAAAAAAAAAAGCAAAAAAAAAAAAAAAGCTCTTACACTTTGGCCAAAGCCGACTACTTGGGATTCTTGAGAACACTGTGCTGTATGTTGCCTTTGAGCCTTTGCAGGTGCTCTTTTTCTCTGCCTAGAATGCTCTTCCTACTCCCCCATCTCTCTTCACTTTTATTAGCTGTTACTCATCATTTAGTTCTCCATTTAGTTATCTCTTCCTTCATGAAACCTTTCTGAATCCTTACAAAGAGTCGGAGAACCGCTGCTTTTATGTGCTCCCCTACAGCCTGCACTTAGGCTTATTGTAACATATCCCATTCCATATTTCAGGTGCCTATTAACAGACAAAAATCCCACACCAGGCTGTTGGCTCTTGAGGGCAGGGCCCCTGTATGCTATATCCCTAATACCTCTGTTAGCAGATAAATATGTGGTTTGTGTATCTTCTCACACTTGAGGGCCACACTTAAAACTTATCCCATGAGGGTATGGGAGTTTGAACTTAAAAGGAAAAAGATTGAATTTATCATTTGCCATTGCGATTGCTTACTGAAATTAGACATCAGTCTTATCCCCGGTCCCAACTTAGCTACCCATGCAGAAGATACAGACTGTCCAGAAGATACATAACAAGCTGTCACCTTACTTCATAAAACACTTTCCTGTTGTACCCAACACATAATCATGACTGCTAAGCCTAGCAGAGCAGTTTGATACATTATAGGACAGGCTATTCGAATAAAATTATGCATATTTTGCTGTCAAACAATTCTGCTGTAAATGGTTCCTTTAAAAGAAACTTCTTGCTGCAGAAGAATTTCCCCTCCAGGAATGAAGGAAGAGTAAAATACTAAGCTGCATTTCTTCAGAGGTGTGACATGGTCTACTTTATTACCCTGTTATGTAATAAACATATATAATGTAGAAATAAGGATTTTTATGCAGGTATGCATAGAATTAAATACATAGAACTTTAAAAGTTATTTTTTGAAATATTTTTCACCTGGTATTTTATTAGTGTGTAACCACATGTAGTGTATATTTTTATTACCTAGTATGTGTATGTAAAATCTATAGTGACTTTTTGTGTGTTTTGAAAACATCTCTGTAAGCTGCACATTTTTGTAGGGGATAAAGACTTCTTTTTTTAAATCTTAATTCAGGTGAAGGTACAAGTAAGAAGCTGGCGAAACATAGAGCTGCAGAGGCTGCCATAAACATTTTGAAAGCCAATGCAAGTATTTGGTGAGCTAAATTTCTTTGTATTCAGCAGCTCAAAAATATCATGGCTGAGGTAAGATTAAAAATTTCAACATGCTTACAAAAGCAACAAAGTGAACAGTTGTTAGCATCCTACCTCTCTAATTATATTTCCTTATGAAGACTTATCCATGGAAGAAAACTTTATTGAATCAAATCCAGCAGTTAGCTGTTAAATGAAGGCGCTCATGAATTAGGCTTTACTTTTTTTTTTTTTTTAACATGGGGTGCAACAGTAGAAAATCAGTGCTTCTTGCAAATATTAATATTAACATTTTGTATTTAGACTTTGATTATTTATACATTGAAGACAACAAAGTGTGAGATGGAGAAAGATCCACTAAAAGTACTCTTTTAGGAATTATAATTTTGAAGAAGCAGGCAGAGGTTTTCTTTTATTATATAATATATACCAAAAGAAGATAATGTTAAGTGGGATATTCTTGACATATCTTTCCAAAGTAAGATTTTTTACTACTCTAGGTGTTTCTGGATAGAATATTGGTCCTGGAGCATCTCACATATTATAGTAGTGTCCACTGGGTGTACTCTGGAGCTTGGCATACTTTCAAATTCTTCTTGTGCATGCACTCACATTAGCCTGAAGTACGATCTGGTGTAATCTGCTTATAGCCGACAGTAGAGACCCAGGGAATTTGGGATGGGTTTTTTGTTCCTAGTCATAGAAAGGCTTTTGGATTAGGGGTGTAGTTAGGTTCTCATGTAGTTTTCCTCTCTTTTTGTAAATCATTCTAAACCGTTTGGGTAGTTAAGAACTAACCAGTGACACGGCAACCCTCTAGATAAGCAGCTGCCCAAGATAAGCCTTGCATTTCACAAGATGATGCTTCATTCTCTAGGGTCATGCATTATAATTGATCTATGCCAGGCTGGGCGGGGTGGCTCACGCCTGTAATCCCAGCACTTAGGGAGGCTGAGGTGGGTGGATCACTTGAGGCCAGGAGTTCAAGACCAGCCTGGCCAACATGGCCAAACCCGTCTCTACTAAAAATACAAAAATTAGCCAGGCATGGTGGCAGGTGCCTGTAATCCCAGCTACTTGGATGGCTGAGGCACAAGAATCACTTGAACCTGGGAGGCAGAGATTGCAGTAAGCCGAGATTGCGCCACTGAACTCTAGCATGTGAAACCCAGTCTCAAAGAAAAGGCCAGGCTTGGTGTCTCACATCTGTAATCCTGGCACTTTGGAAGGCCAAGATGGGCAGATCACTTGAGTCAGGTGTTCGAGACCAGCCTGGCCAACATGGTGAAACTCCATCTCTACTAAAAATACAAAAAATTAACCAAGTGTGGTGGCATGCTCCTGTAATCCCAGCTACTTGGGAGGCTGAGACACAAGAATCCCTTGAACCCAGTAGGCAGAGGTTGCAGTGAGCTGAGATCGCACCATTGCACTCCAGCCTGGGCAACAGAGCAAGACTCTGTCTCCAAACAAACAAAAGACATGCCAAATGACATGGCAGGTATTGGGTTCTCCCCCACTGGTGATGGCCATGCTGTTTCTGTACAGCCTGAAGGTGAACCCAACCAGTAAGTACACTTGTAGAAATGAGGGGTATAGAGTGTCCTTTCTGCACCTGGGCACTTCACTTTGTCAGCAAAAAAAGCTAACAAACTTTACTATATTTGTGCTTCTTGACAGATAAAATGGGAATTACTAAGCTGTAATCAGGCCTAAAGTGGCCTGACTTAATACAGAGACTTTCTCACTTCTCCATCACAATTATTTGGGTAGCTTCGGCATGCAGCATTGTAAGTGAATACTCATATCTCATCAGCCTATGTAAAGCTTGAAGTTCTCGCAGTTGGAGAAAAAGAAAAAAAAAAAACCTTGAGGAAGTGGCAATAACTAAACCTCACTTGTCATGGAAAAATGACTCCAGTTGCCTAGGTGGTAGTAACCTTGAAATGCCGCTTATTCAATTTTAAGCACTGACCTGCCAAGTAACTAGTAATTCCCAACTCCCTAGAAGAGGTTCTCTTTTTCCCTAATCATAATCCCCACATGCTAAAACCAAATTCATCTAAGCCATCTATTTTATGCAGGATACATGTAAATCTTAGAGGATTATCCCAGCACTGAGCAGATGACAGATCAAACAGATCTCTCTTCATAGTTCTCTGGATGAAAAAAACAATGTTTCTGTATTGTTCACATTGCCAGGTTCAATTTTCTGGATCATTGTTACTCTTCTATTTTTTGCATAGTTGTAACAGAGTATTCTTTAAATATTTTTTTATGACATGCCTATTACGTACAAAACGCCACAAAGCTTATGTAGGTAAGTGATACATAGGCCCTACCTCAAGGAGCTTATAGTCTGAATAGGGGAGAGGTATGGTGAAGGATGGACAAATTATATGTATTTGTAAGAGTATATAATTTATGGTAAAACAGTTTCCTCAAGAAAGGATTAAACCGTGTGTTATGATGTTTCAAAGAAGGGAGAGATTATAAACCACTGGGGTAAAAGGATAGGCTTCTTGGAGAAAGTGTCATTTGAGATATATCTTGGATGACAGATCAGATTCCCATAGAAGAGGCCTGAGAAAAGGGCATTCCATGTAGAAGGAATGACAAGAGCAAAGACATAGAGAGTTAATTAGAAAATGCTTGTCATTTATTTCATAATTTGGGGGAAATTATTTTGTTTTATAACACTTTTAAAAAATATTTAGCTTTGCAGTTCCTGATCCCTTAATGCCTGACCCTTCCAAGCAACCAAAGACCCAGCTTAATCCTATTGGTTCATTACAGGTAAGTTGTACAGTTCTTTGCCTACTGATGAAATATATAATAAGTTTGTAATATCAGAGGGGCTAACACAAGGAATTAATATTTTAAAGACAAGATAGTGATATATTTTGTTTTCCAACTTACGATCATTAGATTTATAGAGCTAACTTGAAATTATTCCATATACAGTATTTGCCTTTGGCTTATACAATTCTCATTTAAGATCAATAGGCCCTCAGTGCACATGGGTAGAGTGTTTTATACTTTAAGAATAGTTCTTGCTATTCTTGTGACAAATCTCTTTCTACTTCTGTTGAGACAGAAGACTTTATAAAGAGCCTAAATCAAATCAGTGAACCTAACTCAAGAAAAGGAGTCTGCTTATTTGCTTATTCTACCGAAAAAAGAAAAATTTATATCTACACACACTCACATATGCACACATATTCAGCTTTGAATTTCTATATGCAGAATATCCTTGCAGACTATTCATGTGCTCTGTTAGGCCATTCCCCTCCCCATTATTCAGCCAGTCCTTTGGTCTCTTTTTCCAGCACTATGAGCTTTTCTATAGTTTTCTTCACCTTCTGTCCCCCACCTCATCCAAGTCTGTTGTTTGCTGTCCCTACTCATGTGTTCTTGGCCAGCTGTGGGTTTGGAAGTCTATAGCTAGGAGGGGAGGGACTTTAGGAACTGATGGCAGTGAAACCTGTAGACGGTCTCCTCTGGTGTTCCCAAAGAGGGCGGTAGTAGCCTGTTTTTCTAGTTGAAGTCTCATACCAGCTCACTATGGTTTAATTCAAGAACACCATTCATAGCAGAAAACTGATTCAGTTTTGGTATTGGGATATAAAGATACAAAATGCAGGAATGTCTCTGAGAAATAGAGGGTCTTCCCTCTTTTTTCCGTTGCAGAAAATCACTATTCTTTTCAAACATATACATAGAAATGGGATCAAAATTAAGAAAATACTTATGTGATTGAGCCATTGCATAAAATTACTATTAAAGCCTCATCTTGATTTTATAGGAATTGGCTATTCATCATGGCTGGAGACTTCCTGAATATACCCTTTCCCAGGAGGGAGGACCTGCTCATAAGAGAGAATATACCACAATTTGCAGGCTAGAGTCATTTATGGAAACTGGTACTTATTTCTTACAATTAAAGGCATTTGAAATATTTTCAGATGATGAATGACTATAGAAATTTCTGTCATAATGTTTTCCAGTATTTCTATGCAGAAAAGTTGATACACTCCTCTTTTATAGTCTCTGACTTTCTGAGGCTGAACTTAAGTATAAATATTTGGCTTAAGATACTTAGTCTTAATTTGATATTTTTAAAAATCAGAGATTATTAATAGAAACTATTGGCTTGTACTTTAAACAGTCTTCATTGATAAATTAGTGACTTTAAAAAAACTCATTTTGGAGACAAAGCTATAGCAAATCTCTTGGATTTTATTTAAGAGCTATTCTATCTAGAAAATAGGACTAGAGGAAGATTACCCTTGAAAACGATATGATTAATAAAGAGACTAGATGGCAAATAATTGCAGTGAGATAAAAATGAAAATTATCTTTCTTAATTGTAGCAACTCCTATGTTATAAAGGATATAAACTGTAAGAAACACTGTCACTTTAGAAAGTACTAGTGAGAATTCCTGTTAACTTCTCTGGCATGTTTTTGTCATTTTTTAAAGTGGCTTAAAATGGGATTTTACCTTAACTAGATAATAGTTTCAAGTAATAAGAAACTGTGTGCCTTTGGGAGGTAGTGTGGGCTCTTACAGAAAGCACCAGGTCAAAAGCAAGAACCTCAACTTCCATTTTTGATGCAGTCCTTGATTTGCAAAGTTAAGCAAATTAATCTCTCTGGACCTCAGTTTTTTAATCTATAAAACAAAAACATGGAGATAGATATTTGTGGTATCTTTCAACTCCAGCATCCCCTGTGCCTTTCTTATTCCTGTTTAAAGGAATTCCATATAATTGTCAGTTTAGAGAAGATCACAAGCAGGAAATAGACATTGAGAGAGAGGAGTTATAATTCAGATGTATTTTAATAAATATGAATAATTGGTCAGAATTAAATGTGGTTCAGTAATGCTAGACATAGGAAAATACAATTATTATAGAAAAACAGAAAGCATAACTATTAAAAACTTAAAACAAATGCCTTCAAAAGTGTAAGAATTAGTAACTATACAGGCCAGGCACAGTGGCTCACCTATAATCCCAGCCCTTTGGGAGGCTGAGGTGGGCCGATCGTCTGAGGTCAGGAGTTCGAGACCAGCCTGGCCAACATGGCAGAACCCTGTCTGTGCTAAATATAAAAAATTAGCCAGGTGTGGTGGCAGGCACCTGTAATCCCAGCTACTTGGAGGGGCTGAAGCAGGAGAATTGCTTGAACCCAGGAGGCGGAGGTTGCAGTGAGCCAAGATTGCACCACTGCACTTCAGCCTGGGCGACAGAGCAAGACTCCATCTCAAAAAAAAAAAAAAAAGAATTAATAGCTATACAAAAGAAATAACACAACAAACAAAGATACCAGGTCAGTAAGAACATAGTCTAGCATATAATAAAAACCATGAGGTTCTCTGATTAAATACAATACTTTATACAGTTTGATCATCCTCTGTGGACACTAATTTCTTTTCTAAATCTACCATTTCTTTTTCTTTGTTCAGGAAAGGGGGCATCAAAAAAGCAAGCCAAAAGGAATGCTGCTGAGAAATTTCTTGCCAAATTTAGTAATATTTCTCCAGAGAACCACATTTCTTTAGTGAGTAATGTTGACAGCTATGATGTTAATGTCATTAAGCATTTCTTGCTGTAGGAAACTTTCCTTGATTTCTTATTGTATGGCTACTTCAGAGTTGTGATTTTTAGAAATCTCTTCATTATTCAGTTATACACTACCCCATTTTTAGCTGCTTCCTGTTTGTGAGTCAGGATCACAAAGGCAATTAGGTAAGAGAGCTTGGGAGACACAGTCAAATTCAGAATAATAGGATGGGATGTAAAGATAATAGGCCAGTAGTACCATTTTTGCCTTCAAAGTGACAGCGCATTTCCATCCCTTTGTTCATTCATTCACTCAGCAAACATTTAGTGAGCTCATACTATGTGCTAATTGTTGCGTTGGGTACTGGGTTGCAGTGGATAAGCAGTCCCTGCCTCTAAGGAGTTTATAGACTACTGAAAGAGAGGAAGGAACTCTATAGACGAGTCCTTACAGAGTGTGATGTGGGAATACAGAAGAAAGCATCCAACCAAAACAGGTTTGGAGACAGATTCCAGGAAGAAGTAATGTCTAAGCCAAGACCTGTAGGTCTAGAATGGGGGAAAGGAATTCCAGAAAGAAGAAAAAGCGTGTGCAAAGGCCAGGAGTGAAACATCGTATGCGGTCTAGGAGCCCTAAGTGATTTGTTGTGTGTAGAGCATAGTGTTGGAGGAAGGGAGTCTCAATGAAGCCAGCAAAGTAAGGAGGGATTAAATCTTAAAGGGACCCCTATATAAAGAAAGTGAACTTTATCCCAAGGGTAGTACAAAGTCATTAAAGAATTTTAATCTGGGAAGGACAGGATCTAGTCTAAACATTAGAAGGAAATCACTTGGCTGCATTATGGTGAGTGAGTGAAATTAGGATCAAAGAGACCTGCAAGAGTGCTGTTATAGAAGACACATGAGACATGACAGCTTGAACTAAGGTAGTGGCTGGGAAATGGAGAGAGATGGGTAGATTTTAAAGTTATTTAGAAAACGGAGGTAAAGTGGCATGGTAATTGATTGGATGTAGGAAGCAAGGGAAAGGGAGGAAATTACTATTTTAAGCTTGGCAATAGCAAGAGGGGAGCAGATAATGAACTAAATGTATTGAATTTGAAGTGCTTGTAGAATAGCTTATGGAATAGCTAAGTGAATGTATCGAGTAGCTGAACAAATAAATACAGAGCTTAAGAGATTGAGACCTACACACGATATATAACTTCAGATTCTGATATTCATAGATAGGTGTTGTCATGTAATACATTATCTGAGAGTAGTGTATTAGGTGGGAAATAAAAAAGTACAACTATAGCAACTTCTTCACTGAGCTTATGATAAAATAAGGCCTCATTCTTTAGAAAAAAAATCAAAGACTATATACAAATGAGTAATATAATTTGATTCTACTTTTTTAATAGAAAAATTAACACCGCATTTACTGCTTTTGGAATTTGGATCAACAATATCACCAAAATTACAAAGCACAGATAGGTTTACAGGTGAAATTGGTCAAATCTTCAAAGAAGAGATCATTTCCAATGCTATTTAAACTCTTTTCAGGCAATGTATAGATAACATAAAGGAAACTTTTAAATTTATTCTCCAAAACCAACATGATACAAACACCAAAACCTGACAATAGTAAGTTCAACAGAAAAAAAGATTATAGATCAATATGCCTTATGGTAAAATGGTAAAACCTTTGTAAAATGTTCAGTTCAACATTAAAATAATAATAAAACATTGACAAGTAGGGTTTATTCAACTAATGCAAGACTATTTCAAGGTTAGTAAGTTGGTTACTTTAACCACATTAATGTGTTAAAGAGTAATATATAATCCTCTCAATGGATGACAAAAATTTTTGATAAAACTCAGCAATCATTACTGATAAAAACTTTGAAAAAAACGAAAATCATGGTTAAATATTTACACATTGTACTCATTCCCATTAATATCAGAAATAAGGATGCCCACCAACACCACTTTTATTTAACTTTGTTCTAGAAGTACCTACCAATTAAAAACAAATTAGACAAGAGAAAACAGGAAGAAGTTGGAAATAAGAGGAGATAAAATGGTTACTAACTGCAAATGATACGATTGTATCCCTTTAAAACCCTAAAGAAAAACTACTAGAAATAATAAGAGAATTCATCAAGGTAACTGATTATGAAATTAATATACAAAATCAATAGCTTTTCCATATTACTCAGAGTTATGTAGGTAACAACTAGAATAATTAAAAATAAAAAGCTAAAAATTATTGTATCTGGGAAGGGGACTGAAGGTGGAGAAGGGGCAAGGCAGAGGTTGTTGCTTTTATACTTCTGTACTATTTGATTTTTTGCTGTATGTGTATATCCACTTTGACAAAACTTACGAAGCTTGGTAACATTGGACATTTTATAGAAAAATAGAAAATCTATCCTATTCTGAAAAAATATACTAGAAAAAAGTCAATAGTTTTCTTTACAAATAATAACTAGAATATAGAAGATCTCAATTTAAATTGTAGAAACAGGGATAGGATATCTGAAAATAAACTTAAAAAGAAATGCGCAGGACCATGTGAGGAAAACTCTACTAAAGAATAGAGCAGAAAATATTGTAAATATATTTAACTGTAATGTGGTCTCACTCAAAACCTACCAGCGTTCATTTTGGACCTTCATACACCTTTATTGAAGTTTATCTGGGAAAAAACCCTCAAGAATAACCAAGAAAACTGAAAAGGAAGGGTTGGGAGAGCAAGAGTGTGCTGCTTTACCAGAGAACAAAACATACTGTAAAACTGTACTTGTCAGACAAGGTACTGGGCCAGGAATAGTCAGAGGAACAAACAGAATCCAGGTGTAGATGCTAATCCACATAGGACCATAGTATATGGCAACAGTGAGATTTCAGATCAGTGGGTGAGAGAGGATGGATTATTCAATAATGATGTAGAAACGGTTTACATCCACTTTTAGGTGGGGTCTGTATATATATTTGTTTATGAGTATGACATCTACTTAGGATGCTTCCTTATTCCTTACACCAAAATAAATTTCAGATGGATCAAAGATTTGAACATAAAAATTTAAAACAGTATAAGTATTAGGAAACATGGAAGAGTTTTTCTTCTTAAAAATCTTAGCATGGGGAAAGCATTTTAACTTAAAACCTAGATGGTTAAAAGATTAATAAATTTGGCAACATAAAACCTACTGCACAGCAAAAAATCTGTAAATCAAGAGAATAAAAACAAAGTGGGAAGAAATTATTTTCAACATATAACTATAAAGGAACTGTTTTCAGTACCAACTTTAAAGCTCTTTTATACACATCTGCACACAGCAGCACATGTCTGTAGTCCCAGCTACTGGGGAGGCTAAGGTGGGAGGATTGCTAGAGCCCAAGAGTTTGAGAGTTAAGCCACATAGCAAGACCCTAACTCTTAAAAACTAGAAAATTTAAAAAGCTCTTATGTATCAGTTAAAAAGACAACCCAGCCGGGCGCCGTGGCTCATGCCTGTAATCCCAGCACTTTGGGAAGCTAAGGCGGGTGGATCACAAGGTCAGGAGATCGAGACCATCCTGGCTAATATGGTGAAACCCCGTCTCTACTAAAAATACAAAAAATTAGCCGGGCGTGGTGGTGGGTGCCTGTAGTCCCAGCTACTCCAGAGGCTGAGGCAGGAGAATGGCATGAATCCGGGAGGCGGAGTTTGCAGTGAGCCGAATCGCACCACTGCACTGCAGCCTGGGCAACAGAGCGAGACTCCGTCTCACCAAAAAAAAAAAAAAAAGACAACCCAGTAGAAGAAATGCAAACGATTAAGGAAAAAAAGAAAAGAAAAAATATTCAACTTTATTCATGCAAGATAAAATATTTTCACCTTTTAGATTGGCAAAAACTACAAAATTTGATAATAGCTGGTATTAGTGAGGGTATGAGAAAACAAGCCCCCTCCAAGACAGTTGGTAGGAGTATAAATTGGTTCAGAAATCAGTTTGGAAGTGTTTTTCAAAATTAAAAGTTTACATGTTCTTTGACTTAGCAGTTCCACTTCTAGAAATAATTCTACAGAGAAACTCATTCAAGTGCAAAAGAGTGTTTATTGCTAGTAAAAGCAAGAAGCCAGAAACAACCTAAAGCTCACAGTTGGAGATTCATAAGGTAAATACAGTGCATATATGTGCACTGATAAAAGAAAAATGAACAAGATGTAGAGGAGTAAGTTATCACTTGCTTTAAAAGATTGTGTGTGCTTGCATATGCATAGAACATTTATGGGAAGATACTGAAAAATGTTTAACAGTACGTCGAAGAAATAGAACAGAGGTCTTCAGGGAATGGGTGGTAAGGAAGAGAGACTGTACTCTTCATTATATATTTGTTCTTAGTGCATGTATGTATTTTTTTAACCATGTAAATAGTGTTTTTTAATTTTTTTTAAAACAGTATTTTAAAGTTGCTATAATGTAAATTTTTATTTGGTAAATCTAACAAATTACTTAATTCCATATCATGCCATCTCTAAAATCTTTTGGAAATTGCCTCCCGTCTGTCATGCTCATTAATAAAATAAGATTAAGAGTAGTAACCCTACTTACTTCAGAAAGTAGTTGTTTTTATTTATGGCATATGAAAGCAATTTGAGAACCATAAACTAGTATGGAAATATGAGGCATTCTAAGGACAGAGATGAAAATGGAAGGATATAGGGGAGAATAAAGGAAAGAGGAAAAGCAGAAAGAAAAAGGAAAAAGTACTCAGTTGGGTTCTGGGAAAGAAGTCTAAGAACTTTTTGACATCCTGTCATTTATTTGACTGACTTGTTCCTCAAACCCAACTTGCACATTTCATGTTTTTTTATAGATTTTTTTTCCTGTTTTATAGCTGTCAGTTATAGTGATTGGAATACCAAAGATATGAAAATTGTTTTATATTTTAATCTGCAAATTGCTCCATTAGGCAGATTTAATTATTTATGGATTTATGGATACGGTGCTCCCAAATATCTTGTACCTCTTAATGTGACCATCAGAAAACTCGACTGAGAAACATTTGTACTATATAAAATACAAAATACTTTCAGTATATTATTGCAAGTGCTTCTTAAAAACATATTTTGTAGTACTTGTTAAATGTGTACTTTTTAATGTCTTGTTTAAATTGGAAAGTTAACCAAATGTTATCCATTTAAACATGCTTTATAACATATTAAATGTGAGTGCTTAATAAGTACTTTTAATTATACTGGTACTGGTGTTGGAACCCAGTCCTAGTCAAGAGTCTAAATCTTCATTTCTGTTTTTCAGACAAATGTAGTAGGACATTCTTTAGGATGTACTTGGCATTCCTTGAGGAATTCTCCTGGTGAAAAGATCAACTTACTGAAAAGAAGCCTCCTTAGTATTCCAAATACAGATTACATCCAGCTGCTTAGTGAAATTGCCAAGGAACAAGGTTTTAATATAACATATTTGGATATAGGTATGATTTTTTTTTTCTTTGGCTTTCCCAAGACATGTTTATTTACAAATGTGTATGAGGAATGAAAATTTCTATTATAATTTATTTTATTGATCAGGGATTCTAAGTATATATAATTACTAGACCAGTAATATATATAATTGATATGTCCCATTCTTATACAAAAACAACAATAGCAAAGATAGAGTTTTACTATGTGCCAGGCATTGTTCTAAGATTACATGTATCTACTTACTGAATCCTCAGACTAACTCTATGAAGCAAATTCTGTTATCCTTATTTATAAGTGAAGAAACAAAGGCACAGAAAGGTTGAGAAACTTGCCCAAGATCACATAACTAGTCAGTGGTAGAGCAAGATTTGGGGAAGAGTTCCAGAAGATACCCTGGCTGTTAAACTAGCCCTGCTGGGCGGCTGGGCAAATGAAAAGGGACCTACATTTCTAGCACAAGTACCAAGTTTGTGGCGCCCAGACCCTTTCTCTCTACTTTGTCACTGTATGCTGATTCTGGGAGGTAAATGGAAACAAGTCAGTTTATAGTTTTATCCTTTCCCAGCCATCATCATCTGTATTTTCTCTAGCCCTTAATCATTTGGACAGACAAATATGGACAGATGGGAAAGCAAGTCAGTATGGATTTTCTTTTAATTCAATTTATAAAGCTAATTAGTTGTGTGTGTTTGGTGTCTTGATTTTGTTCTTTTTTTTTTTTTGAGACAGAGTCTTGTTTCTGTTGCCCAGGCTGGAGTACAGTGGCACAATCTCAACTCACTGCAACCTCTGCCTCCCAGGTTCAAGCGATCCTCCTGCTTCAATCTCCCAAGAAGCTGGGATTACAGGCACCCACCACCACGCCTGGCTAATTTTTTTTTTTTCCCTGAGATGCAGTCTTGATCTGTTGCCCAGGCTGGAGTGCAGTGGCATGATCTCAGCTCACTATAACCTCTGCCTCCCAGGTTCAAGCAATTCTCCTGCCTCAGCCTCCCAAGTAGCTGGGACTACAGGTGTGTGCCACCACGCCCAGCTAATTTTTGCATTTTTAGAAGAGACGGGGTTTCACCATGTTGGCCAGGCTGGTCTCAAACTCCTGACTTCATGATCCACCCACCTTGGCCTCCCAAAGTTTTTTTAGTAGAGATGGGAGTTTCACCATGTTGGCCAAGCTGGTCTCAAACTCCTGACTTCATGTCCACCCACCTTGGCCTCCCAAAGTTTTTTTTAGTAGAGATGGGAGTTTCACCATGTTGGCCAAGCTGGTCTCAAACTCCTGACCTCAAGTGATCTACCCACCTCGGCCTCCCAAAGTGCTAGGATTACAGGTGAGCCACCGTGTGTGGCCAAAGTGACTTGATTTAACGTGTGAGAAATTTTATATCCCTATCCAACCACAGATGTGGGGACCTTGCTTGTCAGGGTCCCCTGACCCTGGGAAAGTAGGGCACTTAGGGGCTCAAAGAACTTCTGATATTCTCTGCTATTTTGGGATTGAAGGACGGGTCAAGTGCATTGTCTTAGTAAACCAATAATGATGCAGAACCTGAGAAGTCAGTGCAGACAGATGATTAGAGAAGGTGGCTGATGAAAAATTAACCGGGTGTGGTGGCACATGCCTGTAGTCCAGGCTACTAGGGAGGCTGAGGTGGGGACAATGACTTGAGCCCCTGAGATTGAGGCAGCAGTGAGCCATGATCATGCAGCTGCTTTCCAGCCTGGGTGACAGAGTGAGACTTGTCTCAAAAGAAAAGAGGCCAGAGGCCGGGTGCGGTGGCTCATGCCTGTAATCCCGGCACTTTGGGAGGCCAAGGCAGGCGGATCACCTGAGGTCAGGAGTTTGAGACCAGTCTGACCAACATGGTGAAACCCCATCTCTACTAAAAATACAAAAATTAGCCAGGCATGGTGGCGTGCGCCTATAATCCCAGCTATTCAGGAGGCCCAGGTGGTGGGAGAATCACTTGAACCTGGGAGGCGGAGGTTGCAGTGAACCAAGATTGCACCACTGCACTCCAGCCTGGGTGATAGAGCAAGACTCTGTCTCAAAAAAAAAAAAAAAGAAAAGAAAAGGTGGCTGATGAGAGACCATTCATCCAATAAATATTAGTGTCTACAGTTTGTTGAGGGTTTAGAATACAGAGATGAATGACCCATGTCATGAATAGAACTATGGAGGATACAGAATCTGGGGGGAAAAAGGAAACCTGAAATAAATTTTTAGATTATAAATTAATGATGCCTCTGAAACATTTCTTCCCAGTTTTAAGAACTAAATAGTTCTTGTAGATATGGAAAGCAGTCTAAAAACCACAGTCTGTTAATTTGGCTAGTTTCTATGCAGCTACCTTCAAAAGAACCTAGATATTCTCCAAAGGAGATATACAAATGGGCTGGGCACAGTGGCTCACACCTGTAATCCCACCCCTTTGGGAGACTGAGGCATGACAATCGCTGGAACCCAGGAGTTTGAGACCAGCCTGGGCAATATAGTGAGAGCCTGTCTCAAAATTTTAAAATTAAAAAAGAAAAATGACCAAATGACCAAAAAATACATGAAAAGATGCTCAATATCATTAGTTAATAGAGAATGCAATCAAAACCATGATAAGGTACCACTTCAAATCCACTAGAATGGCTATCATTAAGGAAATGGAAAATAGCAAGTGTTGGTGACAATGTAGAGAAATTGGAACCTTATAGGTTGCTGGTGGGAATATAAAACAGTTCAGCCTCTGTAGAATAAGCTTCTCGGTTCCTCAAGTGAATTGCCATATGACCCAGCAACTCCACTCCTAGGAGTATAAATCAAAAACTGGTATTTAAACAAATGCCTATACACACAGATCCCTGTATATTCATAGCAGCACTAGTCACAAAAGCCAAAAGGTAGAAACAGCCCAAAACATCCATCAATAAATAAGTGGATAAACAAATTGTGGACTGTCCTTCCAATGAAATATTATTCAACTGTAAAAAGAAATGAAGTTCTGATATATGCTACAACATGGATGAGCCTCAAGCAGGGGTTGGAGGGTCAGGAGAAAAGAACCTAGATACTAGAACTAGAAAGCCTCTTCACTCATTAAATAATCCCATTGTATCTGGATATTTTCCACTAAATAGAATATCAAAAATAACATTTTTATTATGCCCACTTTAAGTTATACCGCACATGTTTGTTTCTTCCTCTTTGCCCTCATTTCAGCCATCTTTAGTAAGAATGACTCATCAGTTGATGGGAAGAACATTTGTTTCCTGGGTCAGGTATTGTTTTTAAAACACCATGACCCATTTACAGTATAAATAAAGAACTAGACTCTGCACAGACTTAAAACCTAAGAACATGAACGGACAACTCCATGAATACATACAATTATTATGTATCAATTAAAAAAAAATTTTAATAGAAGACACGAGGTTTTGCCTTGATCCAAGTTATTCCTGGTTCAGATGCCTCCTGAAAATGACTTCCTAGTGGAAAATACAATCTCTCCAGTCCTTTAACAAATGGTTCTTTCCCTTTTGAGAAAGTTACTTAATGGTTCAGTAATTTCCAAATAGTGTTCAACTAACCATATTAGAATTGCCTTGGGAACTTTTTTTTTTAATGTAGGAATCAGCCACCCCCAACCATATATTTCTGATTGAGTGAGCTAGAGTGCAGCCTACATATCTGTATGTCTTTAAAGCTGTCAGATCATTATGAAGTGTAATGTGTTTGAAAACTGCTACAGCTGAGCAGTTGTGGTTTCTGTTTGTACAAGCAAAACAAAGATTGCGAGTGGTGTAGTATACTATGGATGCTTAAAAAGAAAGTAATAAGAATTGTATTGTTTTTACAAATGATCCACTTTATACATATTGGACATTAATCGTCATCCTTGAATGTGTCATTACAGATGAACTGAGCGCCAATGGACAGTATCAATGTCTTGCTGAACTGTCCACCAGCCCCATCACGGTCTGTCATGGCTCCGGTATCTCCTGTGGCAATGCACAAAGTGATGCAGCTCACAATGCTTTGCAGTATTTAAAGATAATAGCAGAAAGAAAGTAAATTTGGAGCAACTTAACAAATCTTTCAGTAGCACATAAAAAGTTCCCCTTTGGCCCCTTCCCAAGTAAAACTTTTACCATAGTGTTTGAGTTTATGTCTTGTTTCTAAATCTCTTCATGAGTCCATCAATACTCCAGATTTAATTATCTCCTCGTGGTTGTTATTAAGCTCTTTTTAATGGCTTCAACTTTGTATCGGTATATTGTATTTATAAACTTTGTACCACAAGACAGAGTGTAGCACCCATTTTACAGTGCCATGCACATCGGAGAAAGAAACTGCATGTTTGTTGTTGTTGATGAAATAAAAATGCTAGCAACAGTCTTTCTTACTGGTGCTTAAGCTCTTTGCACAAAGCTTTATAAAGGGAATTCAAAGGAAGCCCTTTTGAATTAGAGTCTTGAGGGACAGCACTAACAGGCCTTTATTAAGTATGATTGTTAAATTTCAGGGAACATGATTGGTCTGCTCTGTATTTGAATTCATGTAACAAAGAACTGTTATGATGGGATTCTGCTCATTTTATTAAAAAGCTACTGACTTGACTGTCGTCCTGTTCTTGTTAGCCATTGTCGTGAATATTTTAATGTTGATAATTCTGTTATTTACATATCTCTAATTTACTTTGAAATTCAAAGGTGAAAATAAAAAATGATGGCCTAAGCAAAATTTACAAACATACATGTAATGGGTTACTTCCTTACTTTCTCTAAGCGTTTGCAACCTTGTATTTTTCTTTGACATAACCATACACAGGTGAATTACTAGTTTAAAAAGCATTTGACCACGCACGGTGGCTCAGGCCTATAATCCCAACTCTTTGGGAGGCCAAAGTGGGAGGATCCATTCAGGCCAAAAGTTCGAGACCAGCCTGGGCAACATAGTGAGTCCCCATCTCTACCACAAAAAGAGGAAAAAGAAAATCAATCGGGTGTGGTGGCACACTTTTAGTCCCAGCTACTCAGGAGGCTGAGGTGGGAGTATTGCTTGGGCCCAGAAGATCAAAGCTGCAGTGAGCCAGGATCACACCACTGCACTCCAGCCTGGGTGACCGAGTGAGACCCTGTCTCAAAAAAAAAAAAGCGTTAGAATTACCCAAAAACCCTTCCCAGTTTATTCAGTTCAGTTGCAAGAATGTTCCAAAGTGATGAGTGATGAAAAGGTTAGGAAATAAGTCTAATGAACAGATTTTAACCTTTAGTGTTTCTATATATCATCTTGTAACATCTCAAGTCTTCCATCTGTCAGCGCCGGCTTGTGCTAGCTTTCTAAGTTAGGTAGAGGTCTCAGCTCTGTGTTTGGAGCTCGGGGAAAGCTTCATGGAGGTAGGTCTTTATGAATGAAGGTAGGTCTCATGTATTCATACCGAAGGAAGTATGTAGCAGGTATTTTTGTCTGGAAAAAAATATCTGGAATTCTTTGAGAACAAACTATAAAATAAAGGAAAACCAGTACATGTAACTTACCTTCAATTCTAAAGAGCACTTACCATAGGTCCATATTCTAAGTTCCATTTGTTAAACCATAGAAACAGGTGCTTTTTTTGGCAAGGTAAGGAATAGACTTAAAAAACTGGAAAAAAAGCTGGGCATAATAGGATCTTGTGACTCTTTAAAGATTGAACTAAGGTTTTAGTAAATGGTCTTGGATATGGGGGAGGCACAATGAACTCTCTGAGATGACATTAGACTTCTGCATACTGAAATCCTGACTTGGATAAATTGGGGGAAAGTTTCATAAGGCTGATGAAAAGGATAATATCACTTGGTTGTAGACAGTCCATATGTATTGATAAAATGAGGTCTGAGGATAAGGTGCCCAGAAGATAAAATTGCTGCTGCCTCTGCTTTCCCTGCTTCTGGCTCTGGAGGAAAGTGCATTCTTACACTGTTCAAATGTCGCCTCTCAGATTATCCAGATTTTCTAGAGTTAGGGATTTTCTTGGACCATCAGGTGTATCCTTTAACACCATTTTGGTTAGCCCTCTGCTAAGGCTCTTAACCAATCTAATTAGTCAAACTTGTTAAATATAGGTTAATTTCCCAAATAGGCTCAACAGGTAATTGTGTCATAGTCATCTTCATAGTGTCAGTTCTAACACATAAGAGCATCCATTAAGTGATAAGTGACTTTAAAAGATGAGGATGGCAATAATACAATATGATGGTAATACTAATTCAATAAGTTATTGAGCACTAATGTGCCCAGCACTACAGCAGCCTCTGGGAATGTGTTGGCCCATATTGTGTTATTTGATGAAGAGCCACTCCCCTGATCTCAGGGTGTGCTGTGATATTCCACGCAGGTTCCCCTTCCCTACAGAGGATTTTGTTTCCTCACCTTGGCAGTGTGCACCCAACAGCCCTCAACTGTCAGTAGAATTGCCCTCTAACTGAAGAAAGCCACCTCATCTAAAGTCACACTTCCTTCTTGGGCCAGGCTGCATGCAAAGACTAGTCCCATTGCCCCATATTAGGACAATCTGAAAGACCATCCTAGCTTCAGAGTTCCCCCTACTGTCAGCTAAAGCTGCCTTTGAGATTGCATCATAGTCCATATTCTTTCTCCACCCAGTGGAGCTTCCTTTCTTTCCACAGGTGGCAATCCTTAATAAATCTCCTACCCACTTATCTTCATCTGAGCATCTGTGATCTTGGTACCAGAAGGGTTGCAGGAAAATAGGTGCTCCTGGGCTTTTGGAGCCATTTATCTTGCCTTTTCACTTACAGGATGAGATTCTCCTCACTGGGGTAGGGAGAAGTTAACTACTAGCACACCCTGATAGTGCAGTTGTTAAAACTTTCACTAGTGGTGAACTAAGATGGCACGTCAACTTAAGGAAATGCACTGGCAGGCACAAAGATCAGGTGGGAAACAGTGCGGATAGTGGAACTGATGAGTTATTACTGAGCTAGACCGATACCTTGGAAAAAGATAACAAAAGAATGAGAATGGGCCAGGCATAGTGGCTCACACTTGTAATCCCAGCACTTTGGGAGGCTGAGGCAGGAGGATCCCTTGAGGCCAGGAGTTTGAGACCAGCCTGAGTAATATAGCGAGACCCTGTCTCTACAAATTTTTAAAAAATTATCCATGCCCAGTAGCTTGTGGCTGTAGTCCTAGCTATTTCGGAGGGTGAGGCAAGAAGATCACTTGACCCCACGAATTTGAGGCTGCAGTAAGCTATGTTTGCACTACTGCACTCCAGCTTGAGCTACAGAGTGAGACCCTGTCTCAAAATAAAAGAATGAGAGTGATTAGTTGGTAATTAAAAGCTGAGTGTGGGATCAAGAGTAGTGGCTCATGCCCGTAATTCCAGTGCCTCAGGAGACCAAAAAGGGAGGATAGCTTGAGGCCAGGAATTCAAGACCAGCCTGGGCAACATAGCAAGGCCCATCTCTACAAAAAATTTTTAAAATCAGCAGGCCATAGTGGCATACATTTGTTGTCCTAGTTACTTAGGAGGCTGAGGCCAGAGGATAATTTGGGTCCAAGAGTTCAAGGTTACAGTAGCCTACTGTGCCACTGCACTCTCAGCCTGAGTGACAAAGCAGGATCCTGTCTCAAAAACAAACAAAAACTCACTGTGAGGGCCAGAAAACCTCCCTTGTAGAATATCAGACTCTCAGCTCCTCAAGCCAATGAGGAGAGGAAGCTGAGGACCAGGCCCAGGACTTAATCATGAGAATAAAACTCCAAAGAAGTTAGGACCCAAGCTAGGCAGGTCTACTGTGCTGTGGTCAGGACCCTGATTGGGAGAAAATGGAACCCTGACCCAAGGGATGAAACCATCAGGGTTGATGCACCTGAAAAATCTTCAATCCTCAGGTTTCGAGAACCTTCTAAGGCTACAGAAGTGCCCCTCTCTTCTCTAATAAGGGCTAGTATGCTCCCTGTTTTGCTTGAAGACAATGAGCTGTCTCTCCAAGGACAAAACATACACTCTTCAGGATCCTCCCCAACTTCCTCTCTTGGCAACTAAGCCAATTTAAAAAAAGTTAAACTGGCTGGGTGCAGTGGCGCATGTCTGTAATTTCAGTACTTTGGAAGGCCAAGGAGGGCGGATCACCTGAGGCCAGTAGTTCAAGATTAGCCTGGCCAACATGGTGAAACCCTGTCTCTACTAAAAATACAAACATTAGCCGGGCAAGGTGGTGCGCGCGCGCCTGTAATCCCAGTTATTCGGGAGGCTGAGGCAAAAGAATTGCTTGAACCCAGGAGGTGGAGGTTGCCGTGATTCGAGATTGTGCCACTGCACTCCATCCTGGGCTAAAGAGGGAGACTCTATCTCGAAAATAAATAAATAAAAAATAATCACGACCCCTTACTCAATTTCCAGACCTGAGTCAGTTTTTGGATCCAGGCCCATTAACTAAAGAATCTGGGTCCCCAGGAGGAAGGACTGTGTAATACCACAGTGTGCACAAATAATGATTCCTCTAGTCCTTCTCCAAAGGGACTTATCGCCATTACTCAGGAAATCATACAGTGGTGAAAGGGGAATACTCAACATTTTGATATCTGTTGGACACAGGATCTGAGTTAACAATGATAACACAGAACTGAAAGTCATTATATGCCCTTGATTACAGTAAAGGTTATGGAGGTCGAGTCCTAGGGAGTCCTGGCCCAAGTCTGGCTCACAATATATCCACAGACCCACCTAGTCATTGAGTGTATAATTGTGATAAATATACTTGATTAGTGACACCAGGTTTCTCGGTGTGTGTGGTAAGAGCTAACATAGTGATAAAGGCCAAGTGGCCAGGTGGAAGCTTTCAAAGTTGACCTCTTCTCTATACCAATATAGTAAATCAAAAAATAATATTTCAGGGAATGGCAGAAATTAATGCCATCCTAAAATATCTAAAAGATTCAGGGAGGATGGTTCACATTGTATCTCCATTTAATTCACCAGTCTAGTCCCTCCAAAAACCAGATAGTGGGCTACCACAAACTTTATGAGGTAGTAGCTCCAATTTATCTACAGAGACAGCTATAGGCATCTTTGTTAGAGCAGACCCACATGGCATCAGGTGGACTTCTGGTTCAAAAATGGCAGTGTAGACGCAAGCTGGCTTCACTTCCACACCAGAAAACCAAAAACAAATATACAGCACCGAGATTATCACCAACAATATCCCAGAACTCAGATATAAGGATGAGTCAATTCCTGGGGACATAGAAGTCAAAAAACTCTGAGCAGATGGTAAGAGAATCAGACTTTTATATCTGCGGTGCCCCTCCCCACAATCTGTCTGGCACCAAGTGTGTGGAAAACTTCCCCCAACTCACAGTTTCTACAATGGAAAAAGTGAGAAAAGGTAGACAACCAACCTTCCTGCCGTCTTGGATTCCCTGGAAGGAGACCTGTCCCCGACTCAGCCCATGGGAAGTATCATGAGTACCTGAGGGAAAAACATTACCGAGGACAACCAGAGACAAAGGGAGGACGCAGGACTTCAATCCCCAGCCCTGGAAACTCTGCTCTGGAACTTGACCAAAGAAGATGCCAGATCAGAGTGGCTACTCAGCAGCAACAGCTGTAGGAGATGCATTCCACAGGTCCTCTTGGCACAAACTTTTAGCCGGCCTTTCACACTGCCAGGATATCCCCTTTGGGACCTCCCCCATTTGAGAAGGGCATCACTCTTATAAGTTTCT